GAAAGTTCGTCTGTTTTCCATAACATAATGTATGCCTCTTAAGATATTTCCACTTTGAAGAAGTAAAGGAATATCATAAATACATCCGTTAATACGTATAATTCCACATATAAATATGTATGCATACAGTTATGATCAGGTCAACTAGTACAACTGAACATATTTTCCTTTAATCTTGTATAAAAAAGTATCAGAAAAAACCTGGAGTAAAAGATAAAGAAATGCTTTTCATATTCACCAATAATAAAATAATTTCAGTCTAAGAAATGCATTATCAGTCTTAGTACTTTTAATTATAGAAATAACAAGCATTAAAAATGTATATAAATGCGTTTTTAATTATGGAAACGGAAAACGATACAAAAAATTCACTATCTTTATTGCTTAGAAGTAATTGAGATTTCTTTTCGTTTTTATGTGTGTAACATTAAATAAATATCTATAAGCATCATTGTTATGTTTGTGTAAGGAAATTTCATGAGATCCTTTAAAAAGAACAACAGCAATACTGTATCCTTTTGTAAGCATATCTCTATTTTTTTCTCTATTTTTCTGCAAGTATAAACAAGCTAATAGTTAATATTTATAGCGACACGCAAATTAATCTATTATTTGCTTTGCACATTGAGTTTTGGATCCTTATTACTTATATAATAAACATTCTATTATTATAATACTACCACTGAAATCTTTGTATCGTTATGTTTCATCCCTTAGCATTAAATTGTTTGGACTGTTATGTATATGTAGTCTTTCTTTTTCATGGCAGTTAGTAACATGTTATATTGTAAAATTCGTTGACGGAATGCGTGAAAAATCACAATAGACAGAACGTAAATGCAAGGTCGAGATTCCTATGTACGGGAAATCGCGTTGAAACACTCATACAGTATCTTAATTACATTGTCTGTGTTGTCCATACATACCAGTCTTCGATTCTTTAGTCACGAAATAAGTTTAAATAAATTATGAATAAATATAAGTTCTCAGTGATTTTGGAATCTAGAAGAGCATCGTGACAACCATTTTAAACACCATTCAAATTCAATAATAGCAAACATGATTGAAAAACAATTTAGAATTTCTAATTTTAATAAAAAAAGATCAATTTAATAGAATATTTACAAGAATTCTATGTAGGCCAAACAAAAAAATCTTTTTTTCTCAATTCATTAATTTCATTTGATACATTCATACTTCTGAACATAATGGCCGCCAATATTGTGTCTCTATTAACACGTTTCTCATAAATATTTCGATCAATTCGTTTATAATAAGGCTACTTAACAAACATAACAAAGGTAGTTGTCTGTAACATGTAGGTATAATTCACCGCTCACTTACCTTTACCTTTGCATAAGTATCACCTAATTCGTAATTGTATGAATAACTGAACCCCCACCCCCTAATCCTTCCATGGATAAATTATTATCAGACTCACACGAGAATACGCAATGGTACACTATCCGACTTATTCTCTGCTTCCAAATTGTTTTTTATAGTATCCAGAGTATTATAAATCGTTCTGAAAGTGGGTCTATCCGACGGTCTTCTGTTCCAACAGAGTTTCATCAGATCGTATACCGCTAGCGGAGTGTTTTCTGGACACTGAAGCACGTTGCCCTCTTTAATATATTTTACAACCTCCTCGTGTGTCATTCCGTAATAAGGCTGAAGCGCAAAACTAAATATCTCCCATAAGCACACCGCGAAAGCCCATACGTCGGTCTCGACTGTGTACTTATTGTACAATATACTTTCTAGAGGCATCCATCTAACTGGAATGGCGTCTTGTTCGTCACCTTTGTAATAGTCTTGCAGATAGATCTTCTGCGACAAACCAAAGTCCGCTATTTTCACGATCATTTGGTCGTTGATCAAACAATTTCTCGTCGCGAGATCTCGATGAACGAATTTCCTATCCGACAGGTATACCATTCCTGACGCTACTTGGAGAGCTATGTTAATTAAATCCATGTGCGACAGACGCGAGTCCGTGAAGTGTTCGTCCTTTTCTAAACTTCGAATGATATAATTCCCCGGCGAACATGATCGTAGAAATTCGTTCAGATCACCACGACCCATGTACTCGAAGAGGAGACACATTGGTCGACCTAAAGCACACACACCTAATAGTTTAACGATGTTTGGGTGATCAAATTCGGCAAGGAGGCATGCTTCTCGTTCAAAGTCCTTAAGCAGATCTTCTGACGCTTCCTCTTTTAACATTTTTACAGCGACATTGGTGAATTCTTCACCAGGGACGAGACCAGGCGCTTTTGCTTGAAATACTCGACCAAAAGCGCCCTGTCCCAAGTCCCGAACGTAAATGATATTGTTCCTCGGAAATTCAAGCTTTTCCAATTTTGGATTCAGCTGTGCGCTCGTTTTGTGGTAAGCGTCGTTGCTTGGTAGTTTGTCCAAATCAATACTAACACACTGGAAGTTATATTAAACATTAAGATATGTACCGTTATTATTACTTCAGTTATTGATAGTGAGACGATTGTAAAGACCAGACTCGGTAATATATTTCTGGACGTTACACGGGCATTAAATTATGGTACTTTTGGTACAAGTATCCTTAATATACCTGATTATCTGTGGGGTTATTATATCCTTGATGTCGCTTGTGAAGTCTGTGACTTAAAATAATGGATAATAGAATTCCAGTTATAATTACAAATCCTAATGAAGACAATATTAATATAAACATTGGAGTAAATAGAGTATCCATTACTAAGTCTTTTGGGTCAACCTCCAGTACTTTACTTGTTACATTATCTGTATTAGAAATTGAAAAATATAATGACTATATAATTATTTATCTACTGTATAAATTATAGAATGCATACCGCATATAGGAATATCACAATGTTGCCATCGTATATTAGTATCCATGGTGAAACACCATGGCATTGGTTCATCTCCACCTGCATTTCTACAATAATTTTCTCCATAACGAATCTGAGGGAAGACATCTGGTGGTCTATCATGACTATGTGGTATTTGTGCATTCCATGACTGACAGTCCAAGCCTAATTTTGTCTTACTTACTTTACCCATGTAAAATCTACCATTTCCTCTGACACAGTCATCTGAAATGACTTATGATTAAAAAGTTGTAATAATATGATTATACATAAAGAATTTTAAATTTGTTTTACATGTAACAAGGTCTTCATTCATATCAGTCAAATGAATGTGAGAACAAGTCACTTTTCCCTTAACTACTTTTGGCAATGATTCACAATCAGGTAATGTAAAATGTCCCCTTGATCTGATGTAAATATCCCTCTGTTTATTATCTTCTATCATTGCCCAGTCATTAAAACAGAATTCAAGACGTACTGCCATACAATCTTCATAACATAATGGTAGACCAACTGAGTTGTGACATTGTGGAAAGGCATACATACATAGCATTTTCTAAAATGATAAATTATTTGTCCTATATTTTTCTGAACTTTCTTCATCTCTAAGTATCAATTACCTCTGCAGCTGAACGACATGGTTCAACAAGTCTTTGTATCAATTCCTCCCATAAATTAGTTGTAATACGTTCATTCAACCATCCTCCAGGATTGTCATTGGAATCATTGAACCATACTTTTCCAATTCCAGTTAAATATTTTTTACAAATCTGCCCATTATATGGTGCACAATAACCTTGTGATTCAGGTTCTATGAAGGTAAGAGGTACAAATTAAAAATGTTTTCTCACAGAGTTCACTATTCCTTTTATATGAAATACATACTGGTCTGTGCAGAACTGAAATGCAAAATGATTGCTACCAGAGAAACAATCCAGAACATCATTATTTACATATACAGCTTGAAAGAATGTCAAGAAAAAATATCACATGTTTAAAAAGAAAATTCGTCTACATGAGAGATACGCCGATCCCGGTGCTCATTTAATTTATACTAAACCGCATCAGATCCATAGTGTAAATTAAGTATTTTTTCATACATAATCGATTCTGATACTCCATTCTACACGCTATTAAACTTTTACGCTTTTCTCAGCGGTATTCAATAATCACCGAACGAATATTACAATTATTGATTGTAATTTTTTAAACTGTTTTCAATGGGGGCAGTACGATAATTTAACAAAAATAAAGTCAATGAACCGAGCTACAGCATTGAACACATAATTCGTAAAACAACTGCGATTAAACTGTCCGTAGAAAAGTCTTGTTTTTCTCTATCATGTGTGTAATTAACTGTTACGGCCAATTTCCCCCTTTATTTACAACATTGGTGCGATGAATAAATGGTAAATTTGCTCGTTTTGTAACGAACCTAAGTAGTTGCTAATCTAACAAAAATTTGGAACTAGGACAGCGTTTGCATTCGATAATCGAGAAAATTAAATGAATAATAATCACAATTAAAGTTGAAAATAATTATAAATTTCTAACATTCATAGTTAGAATAGGAATAACTCGTTTTAGGAACTTTTACTGATAATGTTGGTACAGAATGATTTAGAGTTAAAATGCGCGGGAACGATTCCGTTTCGTTACTTAAAATATATTATACGTTGTGAAAAGTTTGAGGTAGAAGTATGCAAGCTTTTTTGAAAACAGGTAAATTAGGAGGCCCTTCAGAAATTAAGAAGCCCTCTACTTCACGTACGAAAGAAGAACGTAACAAACCTTCACCACCATGGGTTGAGAAATAGTAAGCATTGACCAATGTAACCTAAATCACAACGATTCTTTATCTTATCGTGAACAACTTCTGATTATTTTATATCTATAGTCGTCCAAAAACTGTGGAAGACGTTGTTGAACAAGCAGAAGTAGTAGAAGTATTACGACAATGTTTAAAAGGTGGAGATTTTCCAAATCTATTATTTTACGGCCCACCTGGTACCGGTAAAACGAGTACCATATTAGCCGCAGCTAGACAATTATTCGGTAGCCTCTATAAAGAAAGAATATTGGAATTGAACGCTTCTGATGAAAGAGGTATCCAAGTTGTGAGGGATAAGATTAAATCCTTTGCACAACTTACAGCAGGTGGTATGAGAAATGAGTATGTTCATCGTCACATTGATTTTATAATATTATTTCAATGAATGCCAATGATGGTTAAGTAAAAGGTCTGAGAATTACATTGGAGTTGCATATATAGATTGTTTGGAGAATGTAGTTGTAATCAGGAGTTATAATGAAGTACTTTGGTAACTCTTATTGCCAACTAGAAAGCAATATGCTTTAGGCAGATTTGACAAAAGTATTATGAAGTTTTAATCTTTTGGTCCTGCATTAAGAGCAGACAAATATAAATGTTTATGTTCAATAATCTTGTGTGTTTCTCCAGTAACTTCTGTGATAAAGACACAATCTGAGGCATATCATGTATAACAAGTATAAATTAATTAAATAGGAATTTGTTGTAACAGTAGTGCCTTTTTTCAGTGGAAAAAGTTGTCCTCCATTTAAAATAATTATCTTGGATGAAGCAGATAGTATGACTAATGCAGCACAATCTGCACTTCGTCGTACTATGGAGAAACAATCTCACAGTACAAGGTTTTGTTTAATTTGCAATTATGTATCAAGGATTATAGAACCCTTGACTTCTCGTTGCACAAAATTTAGATTCAAGCCATTAGGAGAGGAAAAAATTATTGAAAGATTAGAGTACATATGCAATCAAGAGGACTTGAAGGCAAACAAGCCTGTTCTACTAAAAATTGTCGAAGCTTCGGGTGGCGACTTACGACGCGCCATCACGTGTTTGCAATCTATTACAACATTGAAAGGCAAAGACATTGAAATCACCACTGATGATGTTCTTGAAATCATTGGAGTAAAATATAATTTTTATCTTAAAGAGAAAAATGAATAGGAATGGTTCTTCTTTATTTTAAAAGAAATAATTTCAGATTGTTCCTGATAAATGGATAGATGAATTAATGGAAGTATGCAAGGCAAAAGATTACAGTAAGGCAGAGGCGTTTGTTGATCAATTCATGTTAGAAGCATATGCTTCATCTCAAGTAAGCTTCTTCATTTCATAAAAACCCCTTATTAAAATTGTTTGGTACATTAAATTTTTATAATTCTTGTAGGTCATTGAGCAGCTCAGTGAACGAATTATATATTCCAACGAATTAACAGATAAACAAAAAGCTTTAATTGCAGAGAAGCTCGGGGTAAGAACATGAATAAATGGTAAACTAAAAGTAGTACGTGTATTATATTTATTTTTTCCTAGGAATGCAATTACAGACTGTTAGATGGTGGAAGTGAATACATGCAGCTTATGAGTCTTTGTTGTGGTCTTATAAAAGCTTATGAATTAATATAATTGTTATTATAATTAATGTACATAATAGCATACTTTGTTAAAACAGTTTTATACAATAAATATTTATTTTTTTTACAAACTTCAACTCATTCTTGTCTCAAAATACTAAGTTGAACTAATTGCAAAGTGAAACAGCGTTAAAAATATCTTATTCCCTATAAGCTTAATGTTTCCCTAATACTCATTTGTTCTAGGAAATTTTGTGTTTCTACATCAAATTTCCTAGAAATAAATCACCATGCCTTATGGCAGATTTTTAATTAATACACACCTCTAAAGAATAATATAATCTGTATTAAAACAAAATTAAAAATAAACTGGTGACTTATGTGAAATCTAACGGGTTACAATATTTTCTAGGGAAGAACCGATTTCCAACATTTCCGAAATGAACTTCCACCGCGCACTCTGACGGCGGGCAGCGCGTGGCGACGCCACAATTTGAGAGCCACTGCGATCGGCGTGTAGGGGCGTCGTTGCTGCGTGCAATGTGTATCGTGTAGGCGTTGGCGAGGAGGAGACAAGTCGGGGATGTGTCCGTAAAAAACTTGCGGTTTCTGCGTACTCTGCCACACGTGCACTCTTGAAATCGTGTTCTGCGACCAACGAGGTCCCGACGAGTACTTCACGCGCGCCCGTATCGTTCGAAATCGTTTTACGAACGGGCCTAACAATTACGAGCCGAGGAAAAAAAAGTGCAGCCAGTGCTCGGTATTTTGTCGTTTCTTCCAAAGGCCACGTATCGTGCGTGTGTATCCAGGCCTCTTGTCACGAACGTTTGGGACGCGTAGCAAACCACACGAAGATAAGAAAGTCGTCGATTCGTTTACGAACGACGTATCACGGAAACGACGCCCGTACCAAGATGCCAGGACGTTTCCGTAGGGCCATTGAGACGGTTAGCGTTACTTGCGCGACTTAATTTCAACTCGATCCCGAAGAACATTAGAGCATAGCCTCGAAAAACGTACAAAAGTCTCTGCCGGGAGAGGAAAGAGTAAGAGAGAAAGAGAGAGAGACAGGGACAGACTGGACAGGGAGGGACCCGACAAGAAAGAAACTGACGAAGAGCGTGTGTGTATACGGGAGATGTTTGGAATTTCGAGACGAGATCCTGGTGCGGGAGGATTCGACTATCAGCGGCTACGATCGACCGTATTATCACACGCCGGATTCTTCACCGTATGAGACACAGCGGCACTCACCGGTCGTCAGTCTCTATCCCTCTGTGCCGTGTGAACGCGGCTGACTGTGTGTGTGCGTGTTTTTCCCGGCGAAGAAATCTCAACTCGCGGCGACGGCGGTGTCTGCTGGCATGAGATTTTATTGTCGCTCAGTCGACACGCTCTCGTGGAACTATCAACGCTGTATAATACGCGCCGTGCGGTCCGTGTGATTTTTTTTCCGTGCGTGAGTCAGAGTGGTGCCGTTCTCTTTCTCGTGCGAAACGACTGTTCGGTGACAAAGGATAATACACGCTTCAAGGTTCGTGGCTCTCTCGATGGTACTGGGCATCGTTGGGCGGTTGACACTGCGACTCGAACTACCTACGTAACCGTATATCCTCTCCTCACGGGATTCGCGTGCGTGAAACGAAGCGGTGGATGACACAGGACGCATATCGGCCGGCCGAGAGAACGAGTTCGTGGATTCGTCGCCGGTGTATCGCGTCAAATCCTCTTGGAATGTGACGAGCGACTCCCAGCGTGGAAAATATCGTAGAAAAGGTAAGTGATTTGAACGTGGCAGCGAGTTGGTCTGTCGACGTTGTGTCGACCATGGGATGCGAACTGTCATAGAAACGGCCGTTTAACGGGATTGCTTTCCTAACCTGTAAACGTGCTCGCGTAAAAATAGTATTGACGAGCGTGGTCGTAATAGTACGCGACCGTTTAAGAGTTAGTGAGCTTTTTTCTAAGAATAGTGCATTCTTTTTTACATAATCTGTATAACGATCTATGGCAATCGAGTACTTTCAATTTGTCCACCATTGCATCACACGAACTTCTTATCGATATTTATGGATTATGGTTCGATAACGTTATCGATTAACAGAGTCAATGATTCATTCGATGTACAAGCAGATCTCGATAATTGAATCCGAGTATTACACATTGTAAATTAGAATGATCGTAAAATCACAGGTTATGAACGATTAATCCAAAGTGTATCGATCGAGAATCGAAACCATTGACAGTGGCATCGCGGAATGAGCCTCGTAGCTATCATACAGACACTACTATCTATATAGCATTGTTCTTATCGAACTATTGGCTTTTGTAAAAATCCTAGCCGTAAATGACTGCGACAGGATCACACCGGCGGGCACTTGTTACTCGGTACAATGGCGTTTCTCGAGAGTAGGCGCGGGCTTTGTTTTTGTTTTGAAGCGTACGCGACACTCGGTGCCGCGCGTCCACTGCACACGCCTGCCAACGTAATTCAAAGTGGTGGTATTCAGGCGGCGTGATTTATGGCTCCTTTGAGGATACATGGAATAGAAGATTAAGGGAAATATACTACGTCGATATACGGGGGTAGCAAAAATATAAGGGAAAAGCTTGCTTTTGTCCATAGGGTACCTTATGTAATTTGCCAGAGTTGTAAGCCTGACATGGTTCTAAGTGAAGTAGTAATAGTTTATGAGGTATTTCGAGTTCACAAAGTACCAGTTGGGTGTCTTAATACCTACCATAACCTAAGAGTGTTACCTTACTAGGTTAAGTATCTTCATACTCTTTTGTTCGTACACGTAAAAGCAAATTAGAACATAATATAACCTAACATCGACAGTACTTATGCGCTGAATTAATCTATAAAATTCATACAACCACCAAGGTAATCAGCTAATAGTGCCATATTTAACCTGTCATTCCCGTAATTGCAACTAATCAATTTCGACTATCGACCTGGTACTCTCAATTTACAATCCCACGCACAATTTCTTTCATCTTGAAGTTGAAATTAATCCTTGTCCAAGATATCAAGCACAGTAGAAGAAGAAATAAAATTCACGAATAAAATAAAACGCTCGAGTTGAAACTACGCTAGCAAGAAAACTCATAACGATGGCTTTATAAAGCTGTTTCTGCCGACTGGCATCTCGCTCGTAGTCTCGCTCGACCGACATCCCCTGGTCGCTGTTTATATCCGGTTAGATAAGGGGCGAAGTTGCGCCGTTCCAGAGCACAGATACGTATACCAGCAGCCACGGCCAGACTACTTTTCGCCCTCCACCACCAGGAACAGCGATAACGGTTAATTACTCGGACGAAAGTAACAAACGATCCGGTTGCTCCTTTAATCTTATACACGTTCTATAACGAATAATCGAAGAGAGGGTGGTGGCGTGTTTTCTTGAAAAGCGAGCGTGCGGTCGAGCGTGTCTCTCTCCGCTTCTGGATTCATTGGTCACGGTAGCAAAACAGAATAATCTTTCAGCAACCACCAGCGACTCCGATAAACCGCAGGCCTGCAGTAGAACCGCCGATAGTTCTCGTTTCTATTTCCTCCCCCTCTCGAATAATGTAATGCAACAAGTTGCTTAAACGTCCAGCAACAATGCGGCCCGGCTCGCTAGTGTGGACCTTAGGGGCACGTGTTCGCCAGATTCCCAACTACTTTCTCTAACGAGTAATATTTCAACCGCGGGCAAGAAACTGTACGGAGTTTGGATTTATGGGCTGCGTGGCCTCCGACGGCCTCATGCAACATCCTAGCCCGCCTCTTCGAGCCAGAAAGTAGAAGAAGATTTGCTTTACGGACTACTGAGATTTGTGGGCCTGGGTTGTGTCCTTTTAGGAAAACCTGATGTTTTCCATCGGTATTGTCCGCAGAAGCGAAGGTCCACGAGGGTATGTGTGACAACGGGAGGGTGGGAAGCTTGCGTCTGGAAAGATCGACACTGACCATTCTCACACATATTATCCGAGATATAAATATCTTCGAATAACATGAAAAATATTGAAATTTCTTTGTTCATATTTGATTGGTCGGTCATAGTGCTAACTATCGCTTACTCACTGGACCGATGAAAAGTTTCCTTCGGTCAGCTGTGTGATCGGTAACCGCGGACCCGTTGCTCTAGATTGGAACAGGCTAGGGGGGGATGAAGTGAAAAGTATCCGACGATCGTTTCGCGGAATAACGTCCATTTAATTCGTAATCGAACGATCCGTGGTCGCGACAATGTTTTGAATCGCCGCGGTGCTGTTCCCCTTTTGGCCATTGAATAGATCTCCACACCCTCCCACAAAGATAGTCGTGTGTGTGTATGTGTATGTACATATATATATATATATTTAGCTTTTGACTGGCCCGTGATTGTTCGCCGCGGAAATGACGTTGTCAGTGTCACGCGTGTCTCGTCTCTCGTATCGTGACCGGCTAATCGAACCGGGTCTGATTTTTAAATCGATCAACGACTTATCAGCTTTGATCTCGGCGCGATAACGCTCGAATCGATGTGCTTTTCAGTGATGAAGAATTATTTGGTCACTGATCCCAACGTGCCGCGAATTCTCTTGCTTCCTGGAACGTACCAGGTAGTCGCGTTCTTTTACCGTGAGTCTGATTTCTGGGAACGCGAGTTTCGGGAGAAATGGGATTCGCTAAGGTTACGTGTACAGGGTGTTTCAAAAGAAAGCAACCGTAGCCTTTTATGGTATATCGAGTGTATTAAATTTTCTCGAATGTAATATCTCACGATGATGATTATGTTACTGAATGAAGTTTGTGGTTAGGTTAGTTGAGAAGTTTGAACTATATAGGGTGTTTCGAAAATATGTATCTCTAATATTCCACAAAAATCTTCACTCTTCGTACAATATTTCCGGAGGTGGACAAAGTTTAACGGGTGTAGGCCAGTTTGGAAATTGGACATGCATAGGGTGTCTCAAAAGAGAGTACACCCGTCCCTCGAATTACACGGTTTCGCTTTAACACGGTTAAAAAAAAAAAATTTATTTCGATTATGCATTTTTTTATGTATTTTGTTGTAACTCGACGACGGATTTAACCGTGAGAAATTAATGTTAGTGACTCGGATAGTGATGTTGTTCCACGAGCAAAGAAAAAACGAGTCCCAGCTTTCGAATGTTCTGACGAAGATTGGAGACCGTTTTCATTTTTTTTACCTCTTTATTTTTACATTATTTTTGTTTTTCTTAAAGAAAAGTTGTTTACGTTTATGCGTTTTTCCTTCTTGTAAATAAATAAATGAGTTGAAGACATAAAAATTTTACGTCTTTGAATGTACTAGAGTATCGGCTTCGTGACTTGGCATTCAGCGGAACCAATCTCCATTTTTCCATACAATCCTTGTCTCATTTTACACGGTTATTATGAACGTATCTACGAATTTTCTTTATATTCTTCGATTCGATTTACACGGCTTAAAATTTAGTTGCAAGCCTTCTTTTTTATATGCAAGCTCTGTCTCGTTTTACACGGTTTCGATTTGCACGATTTTGCGTGGAACGTATCTACCGTGCAATTCGAGGGATATGTGTATCTGTAAGTTCTTAACCTGTAAGACGAATGTCCCTCAAGTTTTTACGATAATTATTGCATCGTTAAATGAAGTTCACCTGTATTGGGTTAGTTAAAAAATTCGAAGTCTATAGGGTGTTTTAAATATATGTATCTCTAATGTTCCACAATGCAGTAATGTTTCTCACATTGTCGCTCTGGTCGGAACCGAATGGCGACAGTTTGGTTAGAGGAGACACGGTTTTCGAGGGTCGCAGCCCGCCTTTGAAAATCCAAGGATGAAACGAGGGTCGAGGCAACCGAGCGATTTAAATACCAGCGTTTTTATTTTTAATTTTTTCTGTATGAAAACCAGACCAAACACGATATAATTTGAACAACGTTTTTACTAATTAATACTTATTGAGTGATTAATTTCATTTTGTAATAATCGCTTTGAATGAATTACAAAAACGGACTGCTAGAAAAATACATGAAATATCTGTACACATTGTCCGTCGAATGCATAAGCTGTGCCTGGACAATTTGGAGGAAAACCCTCATTTGACGAGCAATATGAAAACACGGCCCACGTGACAGCGACAATGTGAAGGGAGGGACTAGGTTTCAGCGACAATGTGAAGGGAGGGACTAGGTTTCAGCGACAATGTGAAGGGAGGGGATTAGATCTCAGCGACAATACGAAGTAAGCGACTAGATTTTACCGACAACGCGAAGGGAAGAACTAGATTTTACCGACACTGTGAATGGGGGAAACTAGGTTTCGTGGACAATGTGGAGGCACGGGTTTCGCGGACAATGTTTTCCGGTATCACGTTTTTGTAATTTATCAGAAACTTGTAGCGAAGACATATTTTCATAAAAATGACATATTTCAGTTCGGCAAAATTTTTTCAACGTTTCTTTTTATTTTTCACAACTTTTCTGTCATGTATTTTTGAGCAAAATGACCATTGAATTCCTTGTGTCAGGAAATGTCCGTAGCCGAAAGTAGGGTGGACGCAAAATTATGTAAATGGTCCAAATTATGTCACGTTTGATCTCATTTTAAACGAATTTTCAGCTAGCAAAAAGTAAAGTTAAAGGAGTTATCGCATTACACACATCACATGCTTGACCGATTCCGGGAAAGATAACATAGGCGTAGCAATAACGCACGCCTGGGCGTAGGAGAAGTTAGGCGACAGTGTGAGAGACATTACTGCAATTCGATTCCGGCAGATGGACAGGAAATTTG